GCACCAGCAGCGGGGGCAAAGACAACAGGGGCGCCATTCCCAAAAAAAGGGGTTCGAAGACGAAAACCCCCAGGGAATTCTTGGCCACCACCAACGTGTGGGCTCAAACCCGGCGAGATTCCTTTCATGCGCGATTATTTTAAATCCCCAGCGGCAACGTTTAGGATTAAAAAAGTTTTCTTTCCTTATTACACCAACCATTATTCCCCCCCCCAAGCGTTGCGATCCTTTTTTTTTTTTTTTCACCTTTTTATTAGCGTTTGTAGTTCCCCCATTCCCCTTTTTCCTCCCCCTCCCCCCCCCCCGACGATCCCGGCTCGAGGTGCTCGTGGCTCATGGCGTGTTCGTAGCTTACGGGGGCAGACCCCCCCACCCCCGCCCACAGGTCGTTTTTTCGCGACACAAAGGGGATCCACTTCTTGCTATTTAGCATCGCTTTTTTTTAATTCTTCCACGTTACAAAAACGGCCAGGTGAAGCATCAGAGCCAGGACCCACGTGGGAGCGAAAAGAGGGGGGGGGGGGGGGGGTGAGCAAGGGCGCGGATGAACCCGTGGGTTCGGCGGGAGGGCTCGTTGTGCAACGCGAAGGGGAGTGAGGTTTTGTGAAGGTAAACTAATTCTGCGCAACTTAGGGAACGGGTTCGGCGGTAAAAGGGGTGTACGTCTGTGTGTGGGGGGTTCCATGCTCAACGTTGTTGTTGTTGTTGTTGTTGTTGTTGTTGTTGTTGTTTTCTTCACATTAAACTCATGCTCAATACAGAAAAACGGCCATGCCTGCCGTTCTCTTGGCAAGGCAACCAAGCCACAAGATCAATAGCCGAAGCGAGACACATTGAGGGCAACACAACTGCAACCCATCGATCCCGGAAGGGGCGGGGAGAGTCAAACGATCACTCTTACAAAACAGATTTCATTTCGGTCGTGTGCCTGTACCCTTGAGGGGGTGTCCAGCTAAGAAAAAAAAAACGGATAAAAGAATTAGGCAGTCCGGAGTACTTGCGAATAACCTTGCTAAAGAGACTAGGCTTGAGAGAGAGAGAGAGAGAGAGACGGAGAGAGAGGCAGAGAGAGACAGAGAGAGACAGAGAGCGAGACAGAGACAGAGACAGAGACAGAGAGAGACAGAGAGACAGAGAAAGAGAGATAGGGAGAGAGAGAGAAATACAGAGAGACAGAAAGAGACAGAGAGAGGGTGAGAGAGAGACAGAGAGACAGAGAGACAGACAAAAAAAAGAGTTTCGCCACACACCTGATGTGATGGCAAGATTCGCTCCGCTCGACTCTCCGACAATCGCGATGCGGTGTGGGTCACCCCCGAAGGTCCAGATGTTCTTCTTCGCCCACCTGATGGCCGACACTCCGTCCTGCGGCAAAACACGTCACGTCATCGTCATCATCAATACATTTATGCCACTGTTGGAACAGAGACGATGCTGACGTGAAAGAGCGGGGCCGGCGACACCAAGCACGTCATCATTGCTTAAGTATGGGGTGCTAGAAAAGGCTTGATAATGACACGAAAAAGGGGGCGAAAGGCCAACGAACACAGCGGCGGGGGCAGCCCCACAGGAGCTGTGAGCACGTTTACGCCCAGAGCATGCACGACGGGGGGGGGGGCGGGGGTGTTATGTCCGTGGTTTCTTGCCAAAGGCGCACTGCTGCTATGGTTGGGGTGTGTGGGTATAAACTCCACACCATCCTGCACCAGGAAGAAAGTCGTGCTGCACAAAAATAGCTGCACTTTTGAGACAGAACAACGGTAGAGGGATAGGCTTGCTTGTCACGGGTGTAATGCAGCAGCAGCAGCACTAGCAGCAGCCACAAACAGTAGTGGGTGAGTGACGCCCTCCAAGCTCGAGTCCATCAACACGAGCACCGCACAACGATTGATAACTAACGGTGGAGTTTCTGCTGCCTGACCGCTGGGTCAGTGCGGGGAAATGCGGGAAGAAGTGGGTGGAGGGCCAGACCTACTTCTACCGCCCACCCACGACAGCAACACAACGATTCCCCACGCCACCACCGACAACAACACCAACAACATCACCACCAACCCCCCCCCCCCCGCTTCGCGCTTGGTGATGTGAGAGCCTGGTCCGGTGAGAACCCGGCGTGCTCCGTCCCGGCTTTGTAGGGACGCGAGGTCAATGGTCTAAC